TTAGCGCACTATATCCATCGAGCCGTCTGCATGCCAGTTTCATTTATGCACAACAGAATACTTCTGCGTACGCATCACGGAATGAATAGCCGCATGCCTACCATATCATCATTTTTTCACTCTATTCATCCATATGAAGAGCCGGGACCAATAATGAAATCGAAAATAATAGAATACCACTTATTGTCGTAGGCAGTTACCGAAAATGGTTAGCAAACATATATTCTAACGTTCACTAGATTTTCATTCTTTTTTTTTTTCAAGTATAGGTGATGAAAAAAAAATGTACATAACGATTGTAATAGGTTGCTTCGCAACCCAAAAAAAAAAAAACCTGATAGTGATTACCCTAGGTAGGCGGGAACCTCGGGGATACGAGGTTGGGTGCATGTTTGGCAGGGAAAACCGAGGGCAACGCAGTGCAACCTCATATTCATGGGTGTCGGCAGAACGTGCGAACTTTGAAAGTGCGGGTTGTACGTGAAGTAGTCAACCCTTATAAGGCCAAACAAAACGAATTTCCTTACTATCGTATTCTCCCGGATATAGGACCCTCCCGAAAAAAGGACCCTTGGGACTTGTAATCGGTACTGGGACTCTGAATATATAGCAATGTGAGAGGACCCCCCTTTTGCTATAGAACATTTTAAGACCCCCCTTTTGTGTATACAGTAGTTAAAATTGAATATGCGCGTCAGCTTTTAGAGGCGCAGAATCCGAAATGTGACGCGTCATTTGTGTTAGAATAGGGTTTTGACACGCCAATCGTGTCGGATACGAGATCTGACGCTTCTGATGCGCCGCTCGCGCGAATTTCGCGCACGTGAGATTTTTTCGGTTCGAACATAAGACCCGTCCCCTCCCCCCCCCCCCCCCCCCCCCCCCCCCCCCCCCCCCCCCCCCCAAATCCCCCCCCCCTCCCCCCCTTCCCTTCCCCTTTCAAATTCTTTCCCCCCCCCCCCCCCCCCCCCCCCCCCCCTTCTCCCCCTTCAAATTCAAGTGTACACCCCTAAATCGCATAACTGTTCTTGATTATTAAGTGTATTCGGGACTCTTACAATTTGTGCCAAGCAAATATTCACCCGAGCCATTTTGCCTCTATTTTAGGAAAGTCCCCCGGGTCTTACGGTATATCCAGGAGAATACGGGAGTTTGAATCTGGGCTCAGTACAATTAACTTATACCGTAAGAATTTTACTTACATTTTTCCACCCTAAGCGCCTGGAGAAATCAATGACGGCCTTGATGTCCTCATTGATAGAGCTGGCTATGATAAATCAATATATATCACAACAAGGTTTTATCGTTTCATCACCAGATGGCGATATCCCCTGAAAAATATCTGTTCCACTATAAGGAGGTTGAACTGTAGGACACAGTGGCTCAGAATCTGCTGGTTTTAAACGTGACACGTGTACGGTTACTGACGTCTGCGCTCCCGACAATTGCGATTCTGGGCTAGAGGGTTTGAAGGCTTGAAAGTTTTAAACCACATGTTACCCATATGTCGGTTCAAAGCCAACCTCTTTGCCCTGAGGGACCGAACTGTACCACGTCTTGATTTTTGAGATGCCTAGGAACACATCCCTGACATTACAGAATGTTGGAGCGCAGAAGACTTCAAAGGGAAAGTATATCCCCGCTCCTGACTTTCAGATTTCTCTCATATTCAGCCCTAGGTTTACTCAAAAAGCACCACTTTCTAGAATTTCTCTCACGCGAGGCCCAAAGTATGTTCAAAAGTGGTCCTGCGGGGCGATTTTTTCGACACGTGTCCTCTTGTTACACCATCTGACGAACTTCCACGCATGGAAAATTTGGACGGGGGCAAGAAAAAAAAAACCCCTAGAGAACCAGGACACATTCGCGGGAGGGATCAACCCTAAACACCTAGCAGGTCCCGTGTTTAGGGTTTTTCCCTCCCGAAAATGTGTACTGGTCCTTTAGGGGTTTTATGTTTTTTTGTCCCGTAAAAACTTTTCCGGCGCGAAAATTGCCCTGACAAACGGTTAGTTCAGAGTGGAAGTGCGTCAGCTGGTAACAAAAGGACACGTGTCGAAAACTTCGCCCCGCAGGACCAGTTTTGAACATACTTTGGGCCTCGCGTGAGAGAAATAATGGAAAGTGGTGCTTTTTGAGTAAACATAGGGCTAAATATGAGAAAAAACTGAAAGTCAGGAGCTGGGATAGACTTTCCCGACTTCAAACATACAGCCATATGTAGCCTTCGCCGCGCCGACAATAGCGAAGCAGTGAGCGACGTGATTGGTGATATTTTTGTCGTCCATCCTGAAACCCAGCGCGCGACATCCCTTGGTCTAAAACGGTTTGTAGGTGAATGACTATGTTACAGAAGTTGTAAGTACGGTAACTTACCTCGGCCAACTCTCAACATCAACTCCGTCAGGGCACCACGAAACGATATGCAGCGGTCCGGACCAGACTAGACTCCTCTCCCACTTGTCTTGCTACCTCCACCAAATGCTGCCGTTCAGCGAAGCAGGAGCAATGAGCACCAGACCAAGAATTCAAAATTTGCTCATTGAAAGTGGTTCAGTACAATACTAAGCACTCTGAAGCGGTATTCTCACTCACCTTCCACTACTCACCAGTCCGAGCTGAACCTTCAGAAATGTAGCTGAATGAACACCATCACTGAAATGTTTCAGTTCCGTGGGATTGCATGAGGCAGCTCCGTATGAGGCAGCGCGGCTACCCTCATAACCTAGCTATTCACGACATTATGGAGCTAGTGTTCTCATTCCATTGAATCTTCAAAAGCTTCTTACTTCCTCTAATTTTCCTTACCAGTGGAACTAAAGATGAACGCGCCGGTGATGGCGTCATGGAATCGAGCCGCAGTGCTCGTGCCGCCGTTCGTTATAGGCATCTTGACGGGCTTCACTTTGCTGATGTTGCAGCAGTCACTGTCAACACGCATTCCAATCATATCCTTAGGACGGGTAGTAACAGCAACGGTTCAGAGTGATCAGACGCCGATCACGGGTCACAATGAAGCTTTATCCTCGTTTGAGGACATCGTACCGTTTCGTTACAATACCAGCGCTGTACTCGTAGACGGAAAGCTGAACGTACACTTGGTGGCTCACTCGCACGACGATCTCGGTTGGCTGAAAACCATTGATCAGTATTACGTGAGTACGGACTCCGAGAATGTCGGAGATTGGAAAGAAGATAATGCCGCGGCGATAATCTATGGCGGTTTTGAACTCGTCCCGGACGAGTGTCGTCACAACTAATCAGCGCATTATTCAGAAGATTTTCCGATGAAACCTTGAAGTCTCCACTGCACTTTCCGAAGGAATCCGATAGATTTTAAAGCCTGCTTCCGGCTGACACTTGTTTTTGAGATTTCAGAATGCGTAGACGTAGTTTGGGACGTTGATTGATGTGGTTCGTATGATGTGGTCCGTGTAGTCAGCCAATTCTTGCTGACAGGCGGCGAAGGACGGAAGTCTTTTGCGTGACACTTCCATTAACTTCTCCTCATCCAACTCTCAATCCCGTCGTGCATCACTGCAGGTCGACACGGTACAGTACATCATCGAGACCGTCGTCGACCAGATTTCGGATAATCCTGACCGCAAGTTCATTCAAGTCGAACAGGTGAAAGCATTCTCGTCGGACTAGTTTCAATGTTGCCTTTTCATTGCGCGGTACCAAGCGCTCCGTACCTCCACTGCTAAAACATGAATGTAAGCACTTCACGAGTCGCACCAATTTTTTATCTCGCAGCAATGAATAGCAAAACAGACTAGGCGTCTCTCTCGCTCGTTATTCAGTGGAATGAGTTACTCACATCAATGTAAGAACCCATGTTGCGTACGAGGTCGCTAAAGTTACTGACTCACAATGGACGCAAATGATGATCCTTGCTGATTTACCTTTTTCACGGGTGTGTTAACACGAGACTGAAGTCAAGAGCTCTGCTCTTGAGACCAGCATTCCGCTTTTCGGTGGCTTTAAGTTTTCCTTTCTCCATGCGTACATGTATGCCCGCAGGGTTTTTTCTATCGTTGGTGGGATCGCCAGCACGAATCAATGCGGGAAAAGGTTCGGAAGCTGGTGGCTTCTGGCCAATTGGAGTTTATGTGAGTCAGCACATGCCTAGATGTAAGCCAGTTTCACTCAAGACAGTGCATTCTGATGTGACAGGAGCGATACAAATCTACTTCTATCACTGACTCCAGATTGTGCATATCCTTTTCTGTCAGAGCATGGCGCGTAGGCCATGCATGACAGGCGTTTTAGACATGGTGCACACCGGATGTCAAGAACCCTCAATTGACATATCACTCCCAACCCCCCTCCCATCGCCGCCATCCCCTACCCCCCCTCTCTTCCTCCGCCACCCTCATTCCCTCCCCCCTCCTCTCCCATACACATATCTTCTATGTTTCTTCTATGTGCCATGCTGTGCGGTAACGGTGGGTGGGTGATGCAAGATAAGGCATATGTACACTACATGGGTAGGTTGAATCGAATGTCCATCCATGCCATGCCACTGCTTCATCACCCTCCCTGCACTGCATCCCCCCCTTTCCCCCACCACTCACACACGTCTTTGTTCGATGTGTCTTCCACGTGCGTTGTTCGTGCAGCAACGGAGGGTGGGTGATGCATGACGAGGCGTGTGCGCACTACACGGACATGGTGCATCAGATGTTCATGGGCCACCGCTTCACCTCCCCTCCCTACCCCCCATCCCGTCCCCCTCCCCACACCCTACACACGAACGCCTTCCATGTGCCTTCCATGTGCCTTCCACGTGCCTTGTGTGTGCAGCAACGGCGGGTAGGTCATGCACGATGAGGCGTGTGCGCACTACACGGACATGGTGCATCAGATGTTCATGGGGCACCGCTTCACCTCCCCTCCCTACCCCCGTCCCCCTCCCCGCACCCTACACACGAACGCCGTCCATGTGCCTTCCACGTGCCTTCCACGTGCCTTGTGTGTGCAGCAACGGTGGGTGGGTGATGCATGATGAGGCGTGTGCGCACTACACGGACATGGTGCATCAGATGTCCATGGGGCACCGCTTCCTCATGGCCACATTCAACGTCACCCCGCGCATCGCCTGGCAGATCGACCCCTTCGGCCACTCCGCTACTCAAGCCAGCCTCATAACCGCCCAGGTACGCTGGTGGGTGGGTGTGGCACTGAAGGGTGTGGTACAGGCGGGGCACAATTGGTTGCCAGCGTCATCACCACCCAGGTGCGCCGGGAGAAAGGCAGGGGTGGCGCTGGCTGGTGCTTGTAAGTGACGGGTGCGTGTGGATATTCGACGCCACCCCACGCTGCGCATCGCCTGGCAAATCGACCCCTTCAGCCACTCCACCACGCACTTAGCCTCATCACCGCCCAGGTGCGGCATGGACAGGTGCCCCTTCATCGGGCCGAGATGCAATATCCATAGCGGGGGCGAACGAGAAGGATAAGCACTATTCCCCCTGTTTCATCCCCCCTTCCGCCCTCCATCCCCTCCTCCATTTCCCTCACTCCCCACCTTCCCTCTTCACACGCATCTTCACCAGGCGGGGCTGGACGGGGGGTGTTCATGGGGAGGGCCGACCAGCAGGAGAGGCAAGCTCGCTTGCTCTCCTCTCTCCATCCTTCGCCTGCCCTTCTACCCCCCCCCTCCTTCCACCTATCCCACGTCCCCTTTCCACACGCATCTCTCCATCGGGCAGGGTTGGGCGTGGTGGTCATGAGGAGGGCGGACAAGCAGGAGAAGAGCGCTCACAGGTCGCCCTCCCATTCCACCCCCTGCCCCTTTTCCCTCCCCCATCCCTTTTCCGCCACAACCGCTTCCCCCTCCCTCCCGTTTCCGCCCATTCTATCCCCTGTCCCTTTCCCCCTCCCTCCTCTGTCCCACACGCATGTCCACCAGGTGGGGCTGGTAGCGGTGTTCATGGTAAGGGCGGACGAGCAGGAGAAAGAGACTTATTTGACCGCCCACTCCCACCCTGACCCCATTCCCACCCCCATTCCCCCACCCCCCACACGCGTCTCTGCACCAGGCGGGGATAGAGGCGGTGTTCATGGGGAGGGCGGACGAGCAGGAGAAAGAGACTCGGTTGACCGCCCACTCCCACCCTTGACCCCTTTCCCTTCCCCATCCCGGTTTATCCTCAACCCCCCCATCCTTTCCTCACATGCATCTGCACCACCAGGCGGGGCTACAAGCGGTGTTTATGGGGAGGGTGGACCAGCAGGAGAAGGAGGGTCGGTTGGCCGCCAAAACAATGGAGTTTGTGTGGCGCGCCGAGGGGGCGGCGCAGAGAGACAACCAGGTGCGTGGTGTGGTAGGATGCGTTTCGGTGGATTAGATTGGCTAAGCAGGCTTGCTTGGCCGCCAAAACAATGGAGTCTGTGTGCATGCGGAGGGGGCAAGGCTGAGAGACAGCCAGGTGCGTGTATGGTGTGTGAGGCGAGGCCGAGCGAAGAATGGTAGGGTAGGGTGTGCTGCTGTGAGCTGAACTCAGCAGGAGAAACCGGCTTACATGACCGCCAGGACAATGCAGTCCGTGTGGCGGGCTGTAAGAGGCAACAGAGAGAGAGACAACCAGGAGGGGTGCATTTGATGCTGCTGAGAGGTAGGTTGTGGAGCGAATAAAGGAAGCATGCTTGCGGGCGTTGTGCTGGTGCTAATGGTGATAGATTATTGATTGTACCAAGTTCACCATCTTCTCCCCCACCTCTTCCACCTGTCCTGCCTCAACGCCTTTCAACCTTTCCTCCCAACCCCCCTCTCAGGTGCTGGGCATGGTCCCCTATGACGACAGATACTACTCGCCCTCTCAGTTCTCACCCTCTCTCTTGTCCCATCGTCTATCCATCCTCCTGCTGCTCCACCCAACATTCATCCCACACCCCCTCTCAGGTGCTAGGAATGCTCTCCTACGACGGCTACTACTCACCGCCTCCTCTCCTCAGATCCGCTACCAAGACACAGACGACGATCCTACCAACCACTCCCCACGCCACCCCTCTCCACCCCTCTCCCAGGTGCTGGGAATGGTGTCCTATGACGGCTACTACTCGCCCCCTCAGTTCCGCTACCAGGACTCAGACGATCCTTCCTACCGCATTCAGGTACTCCCTCGCCCCTCTGCTGTTCTGCGCTTGTCGCCTCTGCTCCACCACAGTGGTCAATCATGTTGCATGTGTGCTCCTCTCCCATAGCCAGGCCCCTCTCTCTCCACACCATGCCTTCACTACCATGCCTTTTGCTACTAGGTCGTTCGGCTAGTCACTTGCATGGATCCCTGCTCCTGTGCACGCTGAACCCCTTTATACCTCACAACCCCTTTTCACTCTGCACGCGTAGCTCCCCCCACCCCTGCCATATCGCAAACCCCCAGCTCCCCCTGCTCTCTTGCACGCCCTCTGCTCTTCCATTGCCCCTCTGCCCATAGCTTCCCTCTTCTTCAGGGAAATCCTGATTATACACCTTGCACGCCCGCTGCTCTTCCATCTCCCCTCTGCCCTCGTCCACTGTTCAGGACAATCCCTATGGAGGGTCTCCCAACGTGCAGCGCCTTGTGGACGAGTTCGTCACAGAAGTGACCAAGAGGGTGAGTGTGTGGCGCTTGTGCCTTCCAGTATACTTCCACAGTGCATGTCTTTTGAGTCGACTCGAACATCAACTAACTATGTCTTCTGAACGCCTCGTGGACGAGTTCGATGCTGCCTCATCTCCCCATCAGGCAGGCCTTTGCTGTGGACTGACTTCCACTCACTCACTCACTCACTCGCTCACTCACTCACTCACTCACTCACTCACTCACTCGCTCACTCACTCGCTCACTCACTCACTCACTCACTCGCTCACTCACTCACTCACTCACTCACTCGCTCACTCACTCACTCACTCACTCACTCACTCGCTCACTCACTCACTCACTCGCTCACTCACTCGCTCACTCACTCACTCACTCACTCGCTCACTCACTCGCTCACTCACTCGCTCACTCACTCGCTCACTCACTCGCTCACTCACTCGCTCACTCGCTCGCTCACTCGCTCACTCACTCGCTCACTCACTCACTCACTCACTCACTCGCTCGCTCGCTCGCTACTCACTCACGCGCTCTCTCGCTCACAAACTCGCTCACTCATGGCTCTTCCTGAACCTCAAGCCTTTGGAGGGCTTCAAACCAGTCATCTGATGTTTCCCATCCCATGACCATGCGTTGAACCCGCCGCCATGGTTCACTCGCTCACTACCTCCTCCGCACCTCACTCTCTCCCGAACTCCTATACAGGCGGTGGGCTTCAAGACGAATCACCTGCTGTTCCCCATGGACGACGTCTTCACCTTAAACCAAGCCCTCACTCACTCATTCACTCACTCACTCCCTCGCTGCTTCCTCTGTGCCTCACTCTCTTCCAAACTCCCGAGCAGGCGGAGGGCTTTAAGACGAACCATCTGCTGTTCCCCATGGGCGAGGATTTTGCGTTTGACCGAGCCATTTCGTGGTTCAAGAACATGGACAAGCTCATTCACTACGTCAACCTGGTCAGTCACTCGCTGGGTGGGGTTGGCATGGTATGGGTGGTACCATCTTGCTAGGTGGGTCGCTGATTGCTTGGCATGGCGTGGGATGGGATGGGGTGGGATGGCGTGGCATACCATCTCGTGGTTCAAGAACATGGACAAGCTCATCTACTGCTTCAGTTGCTCGCTGGTGCTGGATGGGTTGCTGGGTGCTTGGCATGGTGATATGGTATGCCATGGTGGGATGGATTGATGGGTGGGATGGCATGGCTCGGGCTGGCATGGCATGGATAGGCTGCACGGATTGAGAATTCAAGCATTTTTTTGGGAGAGAATGGTGTTGTCGCAGTTTCTAGAACATTAAAAGTCAGCCGACTGGGCCGTTGTTCTGCAGTGTACAAACATATTTCTTTCTCGTTACCACCTTTACTATACCATATTGCAAATCGTTCCTTTGCACAACAACACACCTGTTAACTCTGCCCCTCCGACTGATCTCTTTCCCAACCATTGCTTATTTGCATAACCCTGCTACAGTGTAATTTTGTAATTGTGTACCTGTGTAACCGTGTTACAGGATGGGAGGGTGAACGCACTCTACTCCACGCCATCCATGTATCTGGACGCACTGCACTCCACCAATGCCACGTGGCCCCTCAAGACTGGTGACATGTTCCCGTGAGTCACTCGGCACACAACTATCTGTTCACCCCTGCAAGCAAGCAACCATTCATCCCCACCCATCCATACCACTTGCACTCCTTCACTGCATCCATTCAAATAGAACCCCTAACGTCGTCTCTATCTCTTACCCACGCATCACACCACTCCCTATCACTCACCCTTGCCCCTCGCCCTTCCCCTTCTCTCTTCCAATCTCTGCATCTCCCTGCCCAAGCGCCTCTCACCTCTCGCCCCAACTATCCTGATTACGGCACAGCACTTCCCACTGGACGGCACAGCACTTCCCACTGGACGGCACAGCACTTCCCACTGGACGGCACAGCACTTCCCAATGGACGGCACAGCACTTCCCACTGGACGGCACAGCACTTCCCACTGGACGGCACAGCACTTCCCACTGGATGGCACAGCACTTCCCACTGGACGGCACAGCACTTCCCACTGGACGGCACAGCACTTCCCACTGGACGGCACAGCACTTCCCACTGGACGGCACAGCACTTCCCACTGGACGGCACAGCACTTCCCACTGGATGGCACAGCACTTCCCACTGGACGGCACAGCACTTCCCTCTGGACGGCACTGCACTTCCCACTGGACGGCACAGCACTTCCCACTGGACGGCACAGCACTTCCCACTGGACGGCACAGCACTTCCCACTGGACGGCACAGCACTTCCCACTGGACGGCACAGCACTTCCCTCTGGACGGCACAGCACTTCCCACTGGACGGCACAGCACTTCCCACTGGACTGGACGGCACAGCACTTCCCTCTGGACGGCACAGCACTTCCCACTGGACAGCACAGCACTTCCCACTGGACGGCACAGCACTTCCTACTGGACAGCACAGCACTTCCCACTGGACGGCACAGCACTTCCCACTGGACGCGCTGGGCCATGGCGCAACCCATTCTCTCTCTTTAATTTTCACATACCCCCAACCACCCCACTTACCCTGCCCGTTTCCCTCTACCCCGCCCCTCACCCCAGCTATCAGGACGATGGGCCCTGCTGGTCGGGCTACTTCACAATGGAATCATTCTCTGCATAGAGTTCTAACATACCCTTCCCCTTTCTCCCCCTTCCCCCCCCTCGCCGCAGCTATCAGGACAGTGGGCCCTACTGGTCGGGCTACTTCAGCAGCCGCCCCTCCCTGAAGCTCCTCACACGCTCCTGCAGCGCCCTCCTGCTGGTGCGCTGTCATCTCAACCTGCTGCGGTGTGGTGTGGTGCGGTGCGGTGTGGTGTGGTGGGATGGGATGGGATGGGATGTCACATCGGGCATACTCTCTGAAGCTTCTCGCCTGCTCCTGCAGCGCCCTGCTGCTGCTGCGCTGCTTATTTCACCTGCCTGCTTTTGCGTGATGGGATGGGATGGGATGGGTTGGGATGTGATGGGATGTGATGTGATGTGATGTGATAGTTGTGATGTGAGGAGAGAATTTACCTCATACCTGCCACATCACCCAAACATGCCGCACCCTCCCATCATTCACTCAAACCTGTTCTTTCATCCATTGAGTCAACTTTTGAGTCAACTCAACAGTCACATCGATCATGTGTTCCTCCTCACTCACCCATGGTTCGCTCACCCATGGTTCGCTCACCCCATCGGTCTGTGCTGCTCGCCTTGCCTACGCGCAGGTGGCTGGCTGGTTGGGGTCAGTGCTGGAAGCTACTGATGCCTTGGCTCGTTTGGCTCACCCCACTTAAACGCCATTGATAAGCACAATTGCCTCTTGAGGCGATTCCGAATCACACTTTCCGCTTAGGCGACTGAGAAGCACACTTGCCGTTGCATCACATTGTGCGTGCCTCTACCTCCCTTCCCTCTCCCCGCGCCCCCTCAGGCCACCACAGCAGCAGAGGCAGCAGTGGGCAAGCAAGCACTGCAGGCATGGGGCGTGGCGACTGGGCGCATGATGGTACTAGAACACCTTGTGCTGGACCCACACCTGGGGGAGAGGACGAGCGACAGCCACGAGGAGCAGAAGCAGGCGGATGGGGGGGAGAGTGCTCGAGGGGTGGAGAGTGCGATAGGGGCAGAGGGGATGAGGGTGGGGTGGGAGGCCGGGCAACGGGTGCGAGTGGCGAGCTCGTTCCGGCTGGAGGAGGCAGTGGCAGTGGTGCTGCACCATGATGGCATCACAGGCACGGCCCAGCAGCATGTTACCGACGATTATATTGCCCGGCTGCACCGCGCTTCTGAGGAGGTGAGGGATGAGTGCATGGAAAGAGGTTAGTCCCCTCAGTGCATGGCGAATGGACTGGAGGAGGTAGTGGCAGTGGTGATGCAGCACCATGACGGCATCACAGGCATGGTGCATCAGCACGCCACTGATGACTACTCTTCCAGATTTCACTGTGCTTCTGAGGAGGTAGGGCTGGTTGGGGCTGAGGTTGGTCAGAGACTGTTTTCCTTAGCTGAGTGCCATAGCATGTGGGGTGGAGGAGGCCGTGGAGATGAGTGGGTGAATGGCGTGGGATGGTGTGACTGTTTTAGGGTCTGCGTGCATGTGTTTCGGGTATGAAGGTCTGCGTGCATGTGTTTCGGTTATGAAGGTCTGCGTGCAAGTGTGGGCTGCTATGCATGCAACACCGCAGCACACGCACAGCACAGCAGCATGTCACTGACGAGACGACTACGCTGCCCGGCTGCACCGCGCTGCCATGGATGTGAGGGTTCTCGATTGGCCTGGGAGCTGCAAACATACATGGATGAGTTCGGTTAGGTGTGACATGCATGGCAATAGACTGCTCCTCTAAATGGGTTCAGGTGGTCCTAACCTCCCAACCTCTCGGAACCCCATTCCCCATCCCACCCACCGTCCACGCAGGCATGTATCGGCTGTGCTCACAGCAGCCCTCATGCATCTCATCACACGAGGCATCCCCCCCTCCTCCCCAGACACTCCACCTACCTCACCTCAACATCCCCATCTTCCCCACCCATCCCACCCACCGGCCATGCAGGCATCAGCCGTGCTGACAGCAGCACTGGCGCACCTCATTACCCAAGGCTCCATCCCGTTGTTCCCCCATCCCCCATCTCCCATCCCACCCAATGCCCGTGCTGAGCATGCAGGCATCAGCCGTGCTGACAACAGCACTGGCGCACCTCATCACACGAGGCACCATCCCCCCTTCCCCATCCGTACCTCCACCTCCCTCCGACCTCTCCTCCAACCTCTCCTCGCGGGCAGCAGCAGCTGTGGAGCTCACATTCAAGGAGGACTCCGTAGAGCAGCGCGGGTGGGGGTTCTGGAACCAATTACCAGATGGGGCAGAGGAGGGGAACGAGGAGGATGCTGGGGATGAGGAGGATGAGGGGGATGAGGGGGACGAAGAGGGTAAGGCACACAAGTTGGACAAGATCAATGAGTTATTGTATGAGGCAGATAGAGCAGGTGCAGCGGATGAGGGGGATGAGGGGGATGAGAAGGCAGGAGTGGGAGATGGTGGGAGGAAGCATGCAACAAGGTCCCGTGCGAAGAACAGGGTCCCTGACAAGGAGGAGGGGGAGACAACAAGCGACCCCAACGAGGTGTTTGACCCTCAGGCATTGCAGCCAGCGGGCCCTCAAGCGGTCCAGTATGGAGCTGCTGGCCCTGAAGTGGTTCAAAACGGTGCTGCTGGCCCTGAAGTGGTTCAGAGCGGTGCTGCTGGGAAGGTGGCTGGGTCTGATGGGAGCAATGCACGCCCTGCTGCTGACGGCACACGCGCCGATGAGAGGAGAGGGCAGGAGGTGGGGGAGCAGGGCAGCAAGGGGGGGAGGAGGAGGCGGGTGCAGCAGGGTGAGGGTGCCAAAGCACAGGAGGGGGGACAGCAGCTGCCTTCACTGGACCTGAAAATGGTGTGTGATGATGACGATGTGGCGGTGTGATGCATTGACGTGGCGGTGTGATGCACATCCATGCCGCTTCCACCTCATCCTCCATCCACTCATCTCTCTTCCCTTTTTCACCCCTTCTCATCCCTGCATTCTAACCCCCTCCCTCCCTACCTCTCCCCCCCCTCACAGTGCCCTCTTCTCAACATCTCCTACTGTCCTCCATCCGAAGCACCCCTGCACCCAGATCAGACCCTGGTACGTATCCTTCAAGCTGTTTCACACGCAGTGCCACACACATCCCATCCCATACAGCTCACCTTTGAGTCCGCTAAAAAATCACCCCTGCACCCAGATCACACCCTGGTTAATATCATGCATGTAAGCTGTTTCACATGCCATGCCATGCCATGCCATGCCACACATGCCTTCCCATACAGTGTCATGAAGCACTACCCATCATGCAATCGCCTAGAATCAAATCAAAACGCACTGACTTGTGCAACTTTGCCTCCCTCTGTTCCACTGTCCTTTTTCCAAAGGCACCGTCCATACTCTATCCGCCTTCCATGTGTTACCACATGCTCTATTCGCCTTCCATGTGTTACCACATGCTCTATCCGCCTTCCGGCTTATTCCAATTGTTACCCGCCTCCCCACAGGTGGTGGTGGCCTTCAACCCTCTCGCATGGTCCCGCTCTGAAGTGATTCGATTCCCGGTATGAGTGCAACTGTGCAAGGAGGGTTTGAGTGGAAGGAGGGGAGGGTGTGAGGGCAACAATGCACCAAAACGCTTTCAGTTACTTCATCCTTCTTGCCTCACCGACGCCTCTGGCGCCCCCATCCCCTCTCAAATGCTCATAGAAGCCCTTCTTTCCCCCTCCACCCGCTCCACACCACCCACGCCGGGGCTTATGCGTTCCCTCCCCTCCCCTGTCCACCCCTCCCACGGTCCCACCTTTTGCACTCCCTGACCTGACAGGTGTCATCTCCTTACCTCCTAGTCACCGACGCCTCTGGCACCCCCATCCCCTCTCAAATACTCCGAGAGACCCTCCTCTCCCCCTCCGCCCGCTCCACCTACATTGCTGCTTACACCGGCGTGGGGAATATACTAGGAGAGGTGGAGGGGGAGGAGGAAGGGGTGGAGGGATGGGAAGGAGGGGAGGAGGGAGGGGAGGAGGGGGGGAATGGGGAGGAGGAGGGAGGGGAGGGAGAGGAGGAGGAGGATTGGGCGGATTATGGGGATGGGCGAGGGCCACTGCAGATCCATAAGCAGAAAATGAAGCATCGGGAGAGGCAGACTAAGGAGCAGACGGGGGGAGAACAGAAGGAGGGAGAGCAGAAAGAGGGAGAGCAGCAGCAGCAGCAGCAGCAGCAGTGCTGTCGCTTGTGTTCAATGCAGAGGTGCCGCCTCTTGGATTCGCCACCTTCTTTGTCTCGCCAGCAACCCAAGGTACAGCACCTAACAGCTGCTATGCTGTATGGCCCACTTTAAAGGCTCTTTACTCAGAGCGGAAGAGCCGGGTTTTTCTTTTTTAAGGCAAGGTCCAGAAGTTGTGCTATACAGCTCACTTCAAAGGGCAGGTTGTGCCAAGGTGCCGAATTTTGAGGTGTCTCATTAGTCCGTTCCAGCAGGGTAGGGTATGTTTTTGAGACCTCTCAAAACCACCCTCCTTTCAGAAGTCCTTTCCAGCAGGGGCAGGATACAGCAGCTGTGCTGTATAGCCCAGACAACGGTTTGCACCAAGGTAGGTCGCATGCAGAGACGTTAGCAGCATGCAGGCAAGCAAGCAGCAAACACACAGAGCGAGCAGCATGCAGGCAAGCAAGCAGCAAACACACAGAGCGAGCAGCATGCAGGCAAGCAAGCAGCAAACACACAGAGCGAGCAGTATGCAGGCAAGCAAGCAGCAAACACACAGAGCGAGCAGCATGCAGGCAAGCAAGCAGCAAACACACAGAGCGAGCAGCATGCAGGCAAGTAGAGTAAGCAGGGCACAGTGCGTGTGTGTGTGCTTCATGTCACCATTAACCACCCCTGCAACCACTCGGCTCCCCTGTTTACTTGCCTCTCACGATTCCTTCCACGCCTTTCCCCCTTGCAGACACACCCGGCAGGGCGTATGAGAGTGCTGCATGGAGCAACACCGTTGATGCTGCAGCAGCAGCACCGCCAGCAGCAGCAGCAGCAGCAGCAGCACAGTCCGTGACAACACCGCCGACTGAGGCGGCACCAGCAGCTGGTGCAGCAGGAGGATTTGGCGCAGAAGCTGCAGCAGCCCAGGCAGGGGCAGCTGAGAAGCAACCAGGCAAAGCGGGGAGGGGGAGGAAGACGAGAGGCCGGAGGATGGTGGTGAGCGGTGAAGAGGAGGGAGGGATGAACGGCGAGGAGAAGAGAGGGAGGGAAGAGGGGAGCAGGGGGGGAGGAAGCAGGAGGAGGTTGCAGGGCGGTGGGGGAATGGAGGCGGGCAAGACGGGTGGGGGAGAAAGAGTCAAAAGGGGGGGAGGAGTGAGCGGGCAGAAAGAAGATGATACTGTTGTGCTGGGAGGGTGGCAAGGTGTGGGGGACACTCGTAGTAGTGCTGCTGCTGGTGTGGACAGGGACGGTGGGGAGCGGGCGGCGTTGCGTGTCTCGTTCTCCAAGTCAGCGGTGGGCATGCAGCGTATGGAGCTGGTCTCTCGGAGTGCGAATGGCCCAGAGGAGATCGTGGTGAGTGGTGTGGCGTAAGAGTGAGGGGTAATGAGTGGGTGATGGTGTGATCGCAATGGGTGTTTGGTGAGGGGAAGGAACTGGTGGCATGAAGGAACCTAGTTTCTGGAAATAGCACAGATCATGCCGTTGTTGCCGCTCTTTGTTTGCTTTCTCTTTTTTGCTAGTATGTGAAATGTGGCACACTTACTATGTGCACTGTGCAGGGTCTGAAACACTCTACTTTCTAGTCTCAAAAGCATGTGCGGTGAACCACTCTGCACTCCTGTTACATGCCATGTTGTCTTCTCTGCATACCATGGCACCCCTCACATGCACTTGATGCCACGCTAGCCCATGCCACGCCATTGCATGCCATGCCATATCACGCCATGCCATGCCATGCCATGCCATGCCACGCCATGCCATATCATGCCACACCATGCCACGCCATGCCATGCCATATCATGACATGCCACACCATGCCATGCCACACCATGCCATGCCACACCATGCCATGCCATATCATGACATGCCACACCATGCCATGCAATGCCACACCATGCCATGCCATGCCATGCCATGCCATACCATGCCATGCCACTCCACGCCCATCACCATCACCATGGCAGCTTGCGGGCATGGCAGTGAGCGCCAGCATGATGGAGTATGCAACATTCGCTGGCGGCGCATACCCATACCACCCCATCCCACCCCACCCTATGCCACTCCACCCCACAATGTAGCTAGGTTGTGATTGGTTGGTCTAAGGACCAAAAGTTGGCAAGTGCCAACCAAGGACCAAGACCAAATCCAATTTGACCAACCACAAAGTGTGGGTGGAGTGTACACCCAACCCCCCAAGAACATAAGGGACTACACCTATTCTAGCCTATGAATGTTGTATATAAAATACATTTACAACAGGCTTACATCTTTGAACCCATACCACCCCATGCCACCCCACCCCATCCCATGCCACCCCACCCCATCCCATGCCACCTCAGCGCATGGGCATGGCAGTGAGCGCCAACATGATGGAGTATGCAACATTACTCTGGCGGCGCATACCCATACCACCCCATCCCACCCCACCCCATCCCACCCCACCCCATCCCATGCCACCTCAGCGCATGGCCATGCCAGTGAGCACGAGCATGATGGAGTATGCAACATTCGGCGGCGGTGCATACATCTTTGAACCCTCCAAACCTGCCACGCCCATCACCACCACCAACGCCACCTTCCAGGTCAGTCAGTGGAGGTGCGGGTCACAACAAGGTGCGGGTCACAACAAGGTGCGGGTCACAACAAGGTGCGGGTCACAACAAGGTGCGGGTCACAACAAGGTGCGGGTCACAACAAGGTGCGGGTCACAACAAGGTGCGGGTCACAACAAGGTGCGGGTCACAACAAGGTGCGGGTCACAACAAGGTGCGGGTCACAACAAGGTGCGGGTCACAACATGGTGCGGGTCACAACAAGGTGCGGGTCACAACAAGGTGCGGGTCACAACAAGGTGCGGGTCACAACAAGGTGCGGGTCACAACAAGGTGCGGGTCACAAGCAGCACCAAATGCCTCTTGTACTCCACTGGTAGAACCAGTGTCTTGTGTTGAGTGATTCAAGTCACTGGTATGGTAGCGCATACACCTTCCATTCCAGCCTTCCAAGCCAGCCGTGCATATCACGACTCACAACCACCCCACCACCACCATGAGGCAGCATGCCTCTCACAGTGCACTGGTGGCGCCCGTTCCAGAGTCTTCAGTTTATTCAAGTCAGAGGGGATGGTGTGTACCCTTGATGCACCATGCTTATGCTTCTCGTCCTGCACTGGTGGCGTCTGTGCCTTCAGAGTCAAATGCCTTCTCATGGGTGAATGGGGAGGGGTGGGTGGGTGGGGTGGGGTGGCTGCCGTGCAGTGAAGCCGCTTCACACCAGCTGGCCTATATGTGGCACGAGATTTCTGTTCTGATTCTCCTTGCTGCCCTGCTGACGTGGCACCAGGTTCCCATTCACATCCAGCGTGGACCAATCGTGGAGGAGTTCAGTCGCCAGGTCGCTCCATGGATCTCCGAGGTGAGCGCATTTCCTTCACTTCCTCCTCCTCCTCCTCCTCCTCCTCCTCCTCCTCCTCCTCCTCCTCCTCCTCCTCCTCCTCCTCCTCCTCCTCCTCCTCCTCCTCCTCCTCCTCCTCCTCCTCCTCCTTAATTACGCAAGACGCTTTTGAGAATAAGAAACCCACAACACAACTCCCTGCAGTGCTGCATAAGTGGATTGCCTTTCGTTCCTCTGCCTCGCTGTTTCCCAGTGGCAACTTACCACTCTGCATCCTCCTGCTCTTTGCGTCTCTGCCGCTCTGCACCGCTCCCAACTCCCAGGTGTTCAGAGTGTATCCAGGGCAGGACTACGCTGAGCTGCACTATTCCGTGAGTGCTCGATGACTTCCGCACACTCTGGCTTGAAAAAATATCTTCGACCGACCCTCCTTTGAGGCGCCTCAAAAGCGCTCTAGATTTTTGCACACTCTGTAGTTCCGAGAATTTGCATGCGCCGAGTATTCAGTCGTCTCACAGAACGTTGCCCAGGCCAGATGGATCTGCTGCCCCCCTCGGCTCGCAACCACAGGTGGTGTTTCGCCTCACTGCTTGTGCGGCTGTCACCGAGGCAATTGAGAAGGAATACGCTGCTCGTTCCCTTAGCCTGTGTTGTTCGATGCTGTGCTTGTGCCTGCCTGCGTGTGTGCGTGCGTGCGTGCGTGCGTGCGTGCGTGCGTGCGTGCGTGCGTGCGTGTGTGATGCACAGGTGGGTCCACTGCCCTCAAAGCGCCCCAACCACGAGGTGGTGACTCGATTCGTGTCACCCATCAACAGCAGCAGGGCCTTTTATTCTGACTCCAATGGCCGCAGCTACCTCAAGCGGGTGAGAGGGTGTTGTCCTCGACTGTGTAGACACAAGTGTATGCCAATGCCTGGCAACTCGCTTCGTGTCGCCCGTCAACAGCAGCAAGGCCTTCTATTCTGACTACATTAAGCGGGTGAGAGGGTGTTGTCTTAGAATGAGATAACCCAGTCTTTGCTACTCGTGCCTAAAAACTCGCTTCACGTCGCCCATCACCAGCAGCAAGACCGTTGCCATTTCCAAGTGCCAAACGCCTCTATGGACATGCCTCTACATCAGCCCAGGATTCCACCATCCCCGCCATCCCCACCATCCTTTTTCAGGTGGTGGACTACCGGTCTGACTGGCCCTTCAATGTCACCGACCCCATCCCATTCGTACCCTCTCCCTTCTCCGTGCTGTCTCCCTTCACCATGCTGTCTCCCTTCACCATGCTGTCTCCCTTCACCTTGCTGTCTCCCTTCACCATGCTGTCTCCCTTCACCATGCTGTCTCCCTTCACCATGCTGTCTCCCTTCACCATGCTGTCTCCCTTCACCATCCCAACATCCCACCATCCCTCCACCCCATCGTTCAGGTGGTGGACTACAGGACTGACTGGGAGCTCAATGTCACCGACCCCATCGCAGGGAACTACTATCCGGTGAGTCAAAGATAGTCAACTAGAGTCAACAGGAGTCAGAGAGTCAACTATTGTCAACCAGAGTCAGCAGAGGCAACTCAAGGGTCTACCATTGAAGCAGTGGTGTCGGCAAGTCAGCCAGAGTCAATTCAATGGGAGCAAGAGCCGCTTTTCAGTCTCCCCCTTGAGCCATCCCGCAGCGGTCCTTCCCTTGTGTTGCATTTTCCTCGTCTCTAGATTGGCAAAAAATGATTCACCTCTTTGACTCATCCCCTTCTATCTTCTCAACTCCGTGCTCTCCAATTCAGTTAACGGTTGGAACTTTCATAAAAGACAAAGCAGCCCAGTTGTCTGTGCTTGTGGACCGGGCGGCAGGCGCTGCTAGTCTGGCATCCGGACAGATAGAGGTCATGCTGCACAGGTGAGGGCACTGTAGCACAGGTGATGCGTGCAGTGGTACCGTGGTGCATGCATGCATGAAGAGAGTTGCGTCCTGGTACAGAGACTCGGCTTGCTCACAGCACCCACACAACAGCTTATTTCCACTTGGATATGCGTAAAAGGGGAGAAGAAGAAGAAAAAAAAAAAAAAAAAAAACATGTCTCTCACATAGACACACTCGTCCATCCGACCAACGATGACGTTCATCTCCCCCCATCTCTCTCATCCCTGCCCCACATGCCACCAGGAAGCTGAGTTCACTGGACGGCAAGGGGGTGGGGGAACCGCTGCAGGAGAGCATCACACTGGGAAACAAGACCCGCTTCCTCACTGTGAGTTCTCCATGTGTTAAGATGACTTGTGAGTCGACTCAAAAGTCAAAAGTCACCTCGACTGAGTCGAATCAAAATGGGGTGGGGGAAGGTCTGCAGGAGAGTATCACGCTGGGAAACAAGACCCACTTCCCTCACAGTGAGTGCTTAAAGCAACAATGTCACGAGCCCATAACTCATGTACAGCCGCCCTTTCGTTACTGCGTTTCCCCTTCCTTCATAAAGCACAACCCTTTCTCCAAACCTCCACTCCTCCCTCATCTTCCTCTCCCAATCATTCTGCCTTATACCCCTCCTCAACACCCCCTTCCTCCTCTTCCTTTCCATCCACTTTTCTCGTGAGAGAAAGGTACCATTAGGCACCAACCATCCCTCTCACGGCCTGCACTTGATACAATCTCTCTGCGCCTCGGGCTGCTCATAGAACGGACTCTGAAGAAAGTTCAGGGAAGCAAAGGTGCTCCAACATCCGTCTCTCCCCTGCCCTGCAAGTCGTGGCCTCTCTGTGCTTTGAGCAGCGCACATAACCGTCCATCAGTCGCCCCCTTGATCTGCTTGCCACCGTGAAAATCACCCCATCCCATCTCCCCACCCTCCAACAACCGTCTCTCTCTCCTGCCCTGCAGGTCGTGGGATCGCTGCGCTTTGGGCTGCATCCCAACACAGGCTCCGAAGAGAGAGCAGGGGAGCAAGGAGAGCATGGGGACTTGCGGCAGGGGTTGGGGGAGGGCAGCGAGTGGAGGAGGCAGCACGCACAGCGCCTCCTAACCCCTCTGCAGCTCGCCTTTGCGGTTGAAGTGAGCCGTTACCATCCGTCTCTCTATCATCTATCTCTGCCTCTTGTTCCTCTTTATACCTTTCACATCAATCGTCATACGCACAACGGCCCGCCTCCTATCCTCTCTGCAGCTCGCCTTTGCCGTTGAAGTGGGCCTTAATGATTCCTGCCATCTCTCACTCAATGACCTCCTACCCTCCGGCTCTCTGTTTTTTTTATCATGATTCCTGCCCTTTCCGTGTGCTCCCTCACGCGCTTTTCGCTTCCCTGCAATCCATCTTGCTCCACCTTCAACCTTCCATCCTCTCAAACCTCTCTCCATCGATCCCATCCCCGCCCTCTCTCCATCTTAACACATGCAGACTCAGCAGTCCATCAGAGCAGCTAAAGGCAGCTACACGTGGCACTACTCCCTCTCCCAGCCATCATCCACGTCAGCATCATCCACGTCATCATCCTCCACGTCAGCATCCTCCACCGTGGAGGCTGCCTCCACCTCATCCAGCAAGCCTAACAGTGCTCCGTCCTACTCAGTTCCTCCCAACGTTGCTGTCATCTCGATGCAGGTAAGCACTGTGCTGTGTTGTAAGAGGCACCGCGAAACTGCTGTGTATCATCCGTACTTTCCATACTATTCAGGCGCCTCAATATTCGTACTGCACACACTAAGTGTCCACTGTTTATTATCGCCTTCATCTACCTTTCACCAACGACGATTTAGGCACTTCAGCAAACTACCGTCCACTCCACTGCATCACTCCGCTGTCTTCCATCTTCACCCTCCCATACCACGTGTAGTTGATCCTTCATCCATCATCACCCCCATGTTCTCACCACCAGCATACATGGAGGAGCTTTGAGAATGCTGTGCCGAATGTTCCATCAGAATGCTGTGCTGTGCTGTGCGGTGCTGTGCTGTGCTGTGCTGTGCTGTGCTGTGCTGTGCGGTGCTGTGCTGTGCTGTGCTGTGCTGTGCTGTGCTGTGCTGTGCTGTGCTGTGCTGTGCTGTGCTGTGCTGTGCTGTGCTGTGCTGTGCTGCAATGCTACTAGTTGCAGTTTGAGGTCTCTCTAAACCAGTTGCTCTTTTTGGACACCGATTGTGCTGAGACTGGCCAATCTCCTTCGGCCACTCTCCCCTTTTTATCACTCCTTTAATCTCACACTCGCTTGTGCCACTGTCACACGTGCAGGAGCTCTCACCAAGCAAGGTTGTCCTGAGACTAGCCCACCTGTATCAAGTGAGTCCTACACTCACTCCCTCTCACTCATTCTCTCCTCACTCACACCTCTTCGTCACTCACTCCTCGTCCGCACTTCCACTCCCCCCTCTCTCACACCCCTGCCTCACTCGTGCCCTTCACACTCACTCACACATTCCCCCCACTCGGCCTTCCAGCCATCCTGCCCTGCCGTACTGCACCGCTTCCAATCCTCTCAAAAAGTCACCGTCCTCGCCTCTGCATTGCACTCTGCCAATTGCCCTCCACTCTCCACTTGCTCTACACACGTCTTCATACCTCCCTCACCATTGCGTATTCCTCATTCCTTTTCAATTTTACCTCCCTCAATCTCGGTAGGACCTCCCGGTTTCAGGAGACCCAAAGCCCCACCTCCTTCAGTGCTCTATGTGTGTCTGCCTCCCTGTCTCATCTGCCTCCCTGTCTCATCTGCCTCCCTGTCTCATCTGCCTCCCTGTCTCATCTGCCTCCCTGTCTCATCTGCCTCCCTGTCTCATCTGCCTCCCTGTCTCATCTGCCTCCCTGTCTCATCTGCCTCCCTGTCTCATCTGCCTCCCTGTCTCATCTGCCTCCCTGTCTCATCTGCCTCCCTGTCTCATCTGCCTCCCTGTCTCATCTGCCTCCCTATCTCATCTGCCTCCCTGTCTCATCTGCCTCCCTGTCTCATCTGCCTCCCTATCTCATCTGCCTCCCTGTCTCATCTGCCTCCCTGTCTCATCTGCCTCCCTATCTCATCTGCCTCTCATCTGCCTCCCTGTCTCATCTGCCTCCCTGTCTCATCTGCCTCCCTGTCTCATCTGCCTCCCTGCCCCGTCTGCACGTGCAGCCTGGGGAGCATGGTGCCTTGTCTCGTCCAGCTCAAGTGGACCTCCGAAGATTGTTTGCAGCAAAACAGGTAGTTAGTCTGGTCGCCCTACTTTTTCCATGTCTCTAACATGCTCTCGTTTTTACCCCTTAACAATTGCCTCTTTGTGACATGTAACTGGTTACCCTACCTACCTTTTCACTTGCTCTCAAACCCACTCTCACACACACCTCTTCACACACCGCCTAGTGCTTCAGCCACAACTGCGTGCATACATAATATTTTGTGAGTGAGCTGACCAGGAATCATACACCAATCAATTTCAGAAACTACTGGAATGATAGCTTAGAGCTACTATCCAGCCTCAGACTGTAATTCATTTCCATCCCTTACCAGGATTACACCCATCTCATCCTCCCCATGTTACTTCCCTTACTGACACATTCCCACCCACCCCAAGCAGATTCATGAGGTGACAGAACTGAGTCTGATGGCCAATCAGAAACGAGCAGACATGCGACAGCCTCTTTCTTGGCGAGTGGAGGGCAAGGAGGGAGTTGAGAGGGCAGGTGCTGAAAATAAGTCAGCTCAAGAATCGTTTGTTGATCCTGCCTCTCTTGTTGTGGAGTTGAGACCTGCAGAGATTCGTACATTTTCAATCAGGCTGCAAGGTAGTACATGAGAACATAGCTTCTTGGTTGATGTGTTACAATGTCGAATAAAGCTTCTTGTTGTGATGCTCCCACGAAAAAATCTTGTGTACCGTACAGGGCCCTAGTTATCAGACTTTAAAGTCTGATTCAGACTCCAATCAGACTTTTTTTTGGAGCCAAGTCTGCACTCGAAGAATTTTTTTAGGGACCCTCTCTGATTTTTCAGAGTATTTTTTACATAGTTGTCTGACATTTCAGACTTCTTTTAGTAGTGTACGCTGAGCCTCAGACTCGTATCGGGGGTGCACTCTGAAACCGATTATACAGGGGGTTGGGCCTGCATGTCGGCGTGTAGCACTATCCCCGTCAATCACGGGCGGGAACCCAAAAATTTCGCCACCGCGGCACCGCACAGTCGCGTTGGTACAGCATTGCTGTAATCAACACCAATTCCAACCAATCGCGGCTGCGCAACAGGCAGTGTTGGCAAGATTCCTTGCCAACACTTAGCTCCCAACGCGCTGCACCAACGTTTGACACCACGACCATCCACCACACATCCCCTTCATCGTTGCCAGCGCATAGCTCGCAGCGCGCTGCCCGTCTCACTTCACCACATACATCCACCCCATCCCACCTTCCACGTTGCCAACGCACAGCTCGCACCGCGCTGCTACTCTCACGTGACCACATCCATCCACCCCATTCACCCCACCTTCCCACCATTCACGCCCAGGTGCCGTGCATGCAGTGACCACCTGGGAGATGAGAGGTCCTT